AGGAGAATCATTTGAACCTGGGAGGCAGAGGTTGCAGGGAGCTGAGATCACACCACACAAAGTGAGACTGTGTCTTAAGAAAAAAAAAAATTACCAGGGCATGCTGGTGTGCACCTGTGGTCCCAGCTACTCAGGAGGCTGAGGCAGGAGGAACACTTGAGCCCAGAAGGTCAAGCCTGCAGTGAGCCATGATTGTACCACTGCCCTCCAGCCTGGACTACAGGGCAAGACCTTGTCTCAAAAAATTCAAACTTTATATGTGGGAAAGTTTTATTTGAAAACCTATACTTCTGACTTCTCTTAACATATCAGAACTCCTCCCCTGCACCCAACTGGCAGCAGTCTGTCAGGGGTAAGGAATGACACTCCCTTCCCCCTCCTTAGGCAGGGCCAGCCTTTTCCAGATGTCCTCAGCCTGCAGGACTCTGCTGTCCCTCGCTGCGGCTGAAGGCAGTGGCCATTCCCCCAGGATGGCCTGCGTGTGGCTTTCTAGAGGAGCAGGGAACGGGGAAAGGGAAAAATTTCTTATTCCCATGGGGAAAGTGAGTGGTCCACAGCCCTAGGTATTTCAGAACCGATTAAAGTGGGTCTTTGGGGTGGGGGAGGAGTGAGAATTTTAAAGACTCAATATGCAAACAGGTGTCTTCTCCAGGTCACACCTGGCACAGGGCCAGCAAGGGACACGGCCAGGCAGCTGGAAAAGGGCTCTGAGTCTCGCATGGAAGCCTGTTGGAAGCTCAGTGTCACAGCTCTTTGGGAAACGCGGCGGGCCACAGGCTGGTCCGGGTGCTCAGTGGCCATCAGCTACTGTCCCTGCCTAGCTCGGCTCTGTTCTCAAGGCTGCTTTCCTGGTGTGGGAGCAGCATCTGCTCAGAAGCTCCCAAGTTCTGGTTTTGCCAGCGGAGCCTTCCCCTGCCTGGGCCAGTCCTGGTGACTCTGATCGGCCCAGCCCGAGTCAGCCTTCGGGTGTGTGGGCTGCGGTGACTGGCGTAGGGGCACAGATGCTGGGTGGGCCCACATGCCTGCAGAAGGTCATGCCCTCCTGGGCCGTTGCTGCTTTGGCGTGTGTTGAGTGCTCTTGCACCGTGCTGGGTCGGTCGGCTTGGGAAGAGCAGCACAGCAGTCACAGCACAGCAATCACAAATGCAGACTCCAGATCCAGGCGGCCTGGGTTCAAGTCCTGACTTGTCACAGGCCAGCTGTGTGGCCTTGGTCAAGTTACCTAACCTCTCTGTGCTTCAGTTTTCTCCCCTGTGAAATGGGGACAATAGTGACCCCGAATACATAGGTTGTTGGGAAGAGTTAGCCTCAGCCCATATAAGTTCTTATTACCTGCTAGAAATCATCCTTTTTTTTAATGCGGTGGTCTTCATATATGAAGGGAATTAACTTCTCATTTGTTAAATCTATGACAAATATTTTTTTCCTAGATGGTTGTCTGTCTTTGAGTTTGTTATGGTAAATTTTTTTTTTTTGCCTGCAGAATATTATATTTATGCACTTAAATTTGTTAGTCTTTTCTTATGACTTCTAGATTTTATTTTTCCTTTTTTTTGTCTTGTGGAGAAAGATCTTTCCTCATTTTATTTTTTGGATGTTTTAGGATTCAATGCTCATAACAAGAAAAAATCATCAAATTAGTTTGTCAATATTATGGTTACTTCTTTTTCCTTCAGCGTTTTCCTTGTTTGCATTGATGACCTAACTCCGTGAGGCAAAGTTCCTTAAAAGGCTCATACTGAAGGCACATTGTGAATTTTTTGACTCCTTGAAGACACGAATTGATAGTTAGGTATAAGCTGTTGCTCAGGTGGAAGCCATCGTTTGGTCGGTTAACGAAAATGAAAAGCTTGGTCACAGGCACTGAGGACGGCCTTCTGTCTACCCTTACCTAACACCACATGGAATTTTTTTATTTTTATTTTTCTTCCTGAACAGAAAGGCATTTGGCCAGGACAGGCTCATTTTGAATTGAGTGAAAGGAATTTTAAAATGCAGCAAAGTTTTTGGAAAAAATTAACTTTCATGAATCCTACTGGGAATTTGTTTCATAACAAAATTTCACAATGCACTGTGCTCACTTCCTTGTGAAATGGGTTGCCTCTGAGTGTGGAGAGAAGCGGCAGAAGCTTAGGGTTTGTCCTGGCCTCTGTGCCCTGAGAGCGCAGGTAGATATTGCAGGGAGCCTACTCATAAGGTGAGTGTGGGGGGGCGCTGGCCAGGTCCCGGGACACCACCGTCAGCTGCCCTAGGCCTCTGGGCTACTCCCGCAGGCACGTTCTTCCACCGCGACCCTCATCACTGGGCACTTGTGAGGGCTTTTGCTTTTCCCAGTAGCCCTAAGGACAGACCCCACAGGACTTGGAGCTGTACCCTGGAGCCTCTCAGGGCTCCACAAAGGTCCAGGCCCTTCCAGTTTTTTTTGAGGTTCTTCTTCTTTTAAAAAAATAAAATTGAGAAATTCCATACCAGGGTTATAGAATTTATGGTGTGTTTTTCATTCCTACGAGGGCTTTGAACCCATGAACATATAATTGTCATGATATATTGTCACACAGCATTTGAAGGACTTCTAACAGATACGTTAATTCATAAGGCATCACAGAAAGGACGGTTGGCATTGAGACACCAGCTTATACACGAATGACAAATGTCTTCTTTGAATTCAATGACTCACTAAGACTGTGTCCATAACCTCATTTCAAGGTAAGGGCTGAAGTCTATAAATTTGGCACCATTTATAGAAATAAGACCCAGGAAAGATATCCCTCTGCCTCTCTCCACTGCCCACTGTCCTGTAATCGGCCTGTTTGGACCAGTGCCGGGCATGTGTGCTCTCTCAGCACCATTGAACCCTCTTACCAAGGTGCCCGGGCTGGGCTTGGCCTTGGTGAGACAGCTGGGTATATTTCCAGCCATCACAGGCAGAGAGTCCAGTCCAGGAAGGCAACTAGCACCCCCACCACACACACACTACACACACACACACACACACACACACACACACACACACACACACTCTTTACACACAAAGGCCAGGTGGGCTGATGCTACTGAGGCAGAGAAGCAGAATACAGACAACTACGCAGAGATTCAAATTGCAACGCCAGAGAGGCCCAAGCTCCACGGAGCCTCCAGCCAGGCCCTGCCCCTTCAGCAGGGAGCCTGGCCCCCAGACCAGTGGACGTGAGTGCAGGACGGGTGCAGGGAACTGGGCTTCTGCAGTTCCTCTTTCTTTTTCTTGAGATGGAGTCTTGCTCTGTCACTCAGGCTGGAGTACAGTGGTGTGATCTTGGCTCACTGCACCCTCCACCTCCTGGGTTCAAACGATTCTTCTGCCTCAACCTGCCCAGTAGCTGGGACAGACGCATGCCACCACAGCCGGCTAATTTTTGTATTTTTGGTAGAGATGGGGTTTCATTATGTTGGCCCGGCTGGTCTTGACCTCAGGTGATCCGCCTGCCTTGGCCTCCCAAAGTGCTGGGTTTACTGGAGTGAGGCACGGCGTCTGGCCTGCAGCTCCTTTTATAGTAAAAAGATGGAGAAATCCCACATCAGGATCATAAAAATGACAGTTTTTCCACGTTTACATTGGTCGTAGTAGGACTTTGAACCCACAAAGGTATAATATCTAAGTGTCGTAATACACTGTAATATACTGCCACAACAGATGTGAGGGATGTTCTGTTTGCTTCTGGTGGCCGAGGCAGCATGAACTAATGAGCCAGCTCGTTCATGCTAATGTGCACTGCTCAGGCCATTTAGTCCACGTGGAGCCCCTCCTCCCCCGCAGCCTGGGGCCCGGGGTCAGGACTTACCGCAAGTGTGCATACTGGAGTCCTGACAAAGGCTTCAGCTGCTGGCCTCTCTGGATTCAACTGTCGGAAATGAACATTGAAGATATCAAAAACCTTTAAAGCGTGCTTCTCTTTGGCAAGAAATCCCCTCTTGGGAATGTATCCTAAAGGCATATAATCTGACGTATGCAAAAAAATTTGCTTCAGGTTCTGTTTGCAGATTTCTTCAAAAAGTGGAAAAAAACCTTAAGATCCAGCAACAGGGCATTGTTGCTTTAGACAAAGACTGTGGTGCCTGTTTAGAATGCAACGCTGCACAGACATAAAAATGACAGAGTGAAAGTGTATTTCTAGACATTGGCGGAAGTTCATGGCGGAGTAAATTTTATAGAAGTGTTGTTTATAAACCAGTATGCATGAGATGCTTCATGTCTTTGTAAAACCTATTTATAGAAGAGGCTTAAGAAGGAGCTACCCTAACCACATTCTGGAGGAACAGGAGAGAGACCTGGAGGGTTTAGGTCTTCACAGTTGCATGCTCCCGGGTGGGACTGCCTGGGGCTGCAGCGATCTTCATCAGTCACTGGTGACCTTGAGTGAACTAGTCTCAGTTCCTTCATCTGTATAATAGGGATGAAGCAAGGTTTTTGTACTTTTTAAATTCATTTAAAACTCCTAGAAAAGTGCCTGGCGCTGTGTGAGACCTTACTAAAAATGAGTAAATATTACTGTCTGGCTTTTCAGAACTGAACATACACTGTCTTAAGAAGGGGGACAGAATGCTTTCCAAATGAAAAATAAAAAGCAGGCCGGGCGCGGTGGCTCACGCCTGTAATCCCAGTACTTTGGGAGGCTGAGGTGGGAGGATCGCGAGGGCAGGAGATCGAGACCATCCTCGCCAAAATAGTGAAACTCCTTCTCTACTAAAAATACAAAAAAATAAATAAAATTAGCTGGGCGTGGTGGCGCATGCCTGTAGTACTTGGGAGGCTGAGGCAGGAGAATTGCTTGAACCCGGGAGGCAGAGGTTGCAGTGAGCCGAGATCGTGCCATTGCACTCCAGCCTGGCGCCTGACGACAGAGAGACTCTGTCTCAAAAAAATAAATAAATAAAAATAAAAAGCAAAGAGAACCATGTGCTTCTGAGAAGTCAGATCCCCTGCCCTCTGTGAGTAACTGATCTTTTGACTTTCCTCTCCTCAGGGGTCACATTTTCCTTTTTCTGGAAGACACAAGGAGAACAGTCTAGAGCAGTCCCTTCTGCGTATGGGGGACAGGTCATCTCGAACGGGTTCAAGGTCTGCTCCAGCGATGGCAGAGGCTCCGTGGAGCTGTACACGCGGGACAATTCCAAGACATGGGAGGCCTCCTTCAGCCCCCCAGGTGAGTGACAGCATTGGCTCCAGCGCAGCCCAAGGAGCCCAGGGATGCCGCTGCCTCCTGGCGCAGGTGGGTGTTGAGACACAGATGTGAGGCAGGAGGCTGAACCGTCTGAAGTGGAAGCTGGAGAAGGGGAACAGGTGGCTGGGGACGCAGAAGGACTCGGTGGCATGGGGTGAGGGGCAGATAGGACTGGAGCCCAACAAGGGAAGGGCAGAGGTGGAGGGCAGCACAAAAGCCTAGGATGGTTTCCTTCAGTAGGAAACATCTTTGACGTATTTAAGGGGAATCCATTTTTGGCTCTGGAGGCTGCATGGCCCAGTTATTAAAAAGCGTGAACCCTGGAGCCAGGCAGGCTGGATCAAATCCTGCCTCTGAATGCTGGTAGTTGTGTGAACCTGGGCACCTTCCCTAACTGCTCCATACCTCAGTTTCCTGATTCATAATATGACAGTATAGCAGAATCATGTCACAGGGTGACTGTGACAACTAAGCAGGTTGCTGTGCATAAAGACTGGAATGATGGCACGATGAGTCCGGAAGGTGTTTGCCTTCTGGGGGTGCTCGGTGTGCTCGGACCAGCTTAGTGGGGCAGTTCAGCAAACATCTACTTAGAATTTGCCTTCTGTGATCCCTAAGGTCAGAAATAATCTCTGCCTCCCTACTCTGACACAGAACCATCTGAACCTTGTCCGTGACCCTCCTATTCCACTTGCTATCAGAGTTCTGATTGTAAGCGTCTTATCTCTGTGCTCCTTGGGCTGATGGAAGATGATTTCAGGCACTGATTAGTTTCTTTGACCTTGAACATGCTTTAAGGTGAAGTATGCTCAACCCTGGCTGCTTTTCCACCCAGGGAAAGGGCAAGAATGCGAAACACTTCTGGCTGGCAATATGTTTTCCTTTGTGCATTGAAGGTGTTTGTTATTCTTGCTTTTGAACTCAGGGGCAATAATACTTTGGACTGACCCATGATCCAAGCATTCTCCAGAGACTCAAAATTATCAGAAAGTTGCACAATATTGAGCAAGAAGCCCTGATGTCATTCTGGGTGATCTATGATGCATGGCTGGCTGGAGGTGATATGTGTCCTTTAAAAGGGCTGTCCTGTTCTTTTCAGCAGCACCTTCAGGAGGATGGCTTACCACAAACGCTGGCAGAACAAAGGGGACCCTTTGTGGAGGAATCGACAGTCAAAATCTGATGAATATTCTTGTTGAGGGCGTGGTTCTTGTGCCAGAGAGAAGAGTAACACAAAAGCTGGTTGATGGAGGTTCCTGAATGAGCAGGGAGATTGGTCTTGCCCAGCAAGGCACTGCCATGTTGGTTAACATCATAATGCCCTAGCTTCGAACAGAGGTTGATGCCAATGGCCTGTGGGCTGAGTTGGGTCTTTATATGGGTTTTAAGGTCCTATATTATGATTGCCTAGGCTGTGTTTGTAAAAAAAAAAAAAAAATTGGAATGATTTATGATGAGTAGTTATGATTTTATTTTAAAATTAAGGCTTTCCAATTTCTCCTGGCAGTAAAAAGACTGGCAAGGCAGGGTCTGCATCTCCTGTGTTACTGATAGGTGAGGGTGAGTAGGGGCTGCCTCCTGGCGATGGAGCAGCCGCCCTTCACACTCTGGTTCACTGCAGTCAGCACAGAAGCCGTGTCCTCAGGGAAAACCAGTTACTGTGTTTACCCCCTCCTTGGCCTCTGCAGGCTGGGTGTGTGGGCTCCACGGAATGCCTGTATTGCTGTTACTGTTCTTAATAGACTTTATTTTTTAGAACAGTTTTAAATTCACAGAAAATTAAGTGCAAAGTTCAGAGAATTCCCATTACCCTCCACCTCCACACAGGCACCACTGCCCCCACTACGGACATTCCCCCACCAGCGTGGTCCGTTTGTGACATTTGATGAACCTGCAGTGACACATCACTGTCACCCCAAGTCCATTGTTCACATTAGCATTCACTCTTACTGCTGTGTGTTCTTTGGGTTGGCGAGGTAGATCTTTTTTGCCCATTTAAAAAACTGGATTGCCTCCCCTCCCCTCCACTCCCCTGCTCTGCCCTTCCCTGCCCTGTCCTCCCCTCCCCTCCCCTCCCCTGCCCTGCCTTGCCCTCCCGTCCCCTGCTCTGCCCTCCCCTGTCCTGTCCTCCCCACTCCTCCCCTCCCTTCTGACAGGATCTGTCATCCAGGCTTGAGTACAGTGGTGGAATCATAGCTTACTGCAGCCTTTATCTCCTGGGTTTAGGTGATCCTCCCACCTCAGTTGCTCAAGTAGGTGGGATAATTTTTTAAAGTTTTTGTACAGGTGAGATCTTGCTTGGTTGCCCAGGCTGGTCTCAAACTCCTGGCTTCAAGCAATCCTCCCATCTCAGCCTCCCAAAATGCGGTTGTTTTCTTATTGTTGAATTTTAAGAGTTTTTTGGGTCTATTTTGGATAATAGTCCTTTATCATGTCTTTTGCAAATATTTTCTACCTATCTGTGGCTTGTCTTCTCATTGTCTTGACAGCGTCTTTCACAGAGCAGAATTTTTTAGTTGTAATGAAGACCACCTTGTCAATTACTGCTTTCATGGATTGTGCCTTTGGTGTTGGATCTAATAAACCATCACTAAACCCAGGGTCATCTAGGTGTTTTTCCTATGTTATCTTCTGCTGGTTTTATAGTTTGTCATTTTATATTAGACCTATAGTCCATTTTGAATTAATTTTTATGACAGGTTTAAGGTTTTTTTTTTTGAATGTGGATATTCAGTTGTTGCAGCACCATTTGTTTAAAAGACTCTTTTTGTTTCATTGTACTGCCTTTTCCCTTTTGTCAAAGATTGGTTGACTGTATTTTTGTTGGTCTGTCTCTGGACTGTCTATTCCGTCCCACATATCTGTTTGTTTGTTTTTTTTCCCCAATGCCACATTATCTTGACTACTGTCACTTTTTATAGTAAGTCTTGAAATTGGGTAGTGGTGTTCCTCCAGTGCTTCTCCTTCAGTATTGTACTGGCTGTTCTGACTCTCTTCTCTCTCCATAGTTTATCAATATCCGCAAAATAACTTGATGAGATTTTGATTGGGATTGTGTTGAAGATATAGATCAATTTGGGAAGAACTGACATCGTCACAACATTGAGTCTTTCTATCCATGAATATGGAATATGTCTCCAGTTTATTTAGTTCTTATTTAATTTCTTTCATCAGAGTTTTATAGTTTTCTTCATATGTTGCTTATACATGTATTATTAGATTTATATGTGTTTATTTTTCCTTTTTTGGCACTAATGACAATGGTAAGGTTTTTTAAAATTGTAAATTCTACTTGTTTGTTGCTGGCAGATACAGAGCAGTTGACTCGTATATTAACCTTGTAGCCTGCAGTCTTGCTATGCTCACTTACTAGTTTCAGTTTTGTTGTTGATTCTTTTGGATCTTCTACATGGACAGTCATGTCATCTGTGAATAGAGTTTTATTGCATCCTTCCCAGTATGTTTGTTCTTATTTTCTTTTTTGCCTTATTGCATTAGTTAGGACTTTCAGTACAACGTGGAAATGGAGTGGTAAGAGGGGACATCCTTGCCTTGTTCCTGACCGTTTTATTCTTGACTCAGCCTCTGGTCTGATTGGTTGGCACTTGTGTTCTGCTATTTTTCAAATATTTTAATCACATTTGCTTGTGAGTATTTACATTGTAACTACTATGCTAATAACAAGGAGTCTCCTCGAACTGCTTTTGGAATTTAGGGCATGGGGATAAAAGGATAATGTCTTTCCTCTGCTCCAAAGGACTGGGGAAAGTCGGGTCTGTGTTAGGCCCTGTATTAGAACTCACCAAAGTTAATAGTGACTGATCATCTTAAGAAAGAAGGGTGTGGCTACAAGCAGGAAAAACCTGTGCATGGGGAGCTCATAACCACAGCACTCAGAATGGCGATCTTCACTCTTTTCCAGGCCCCTATTGGACTCATGTCCTGTTTACGTGGAAATCCCAGGAGGGCCTTAAAGTCTACGTCAACGGGACCCTGAGCACCTCTGACCCGAGTGGAAAAGTGTCTCATGCCTACGGGGAGTCCAACGTCAACCTCGTGTTAGGGTCTGAGCAGGACCAGGCCAAGTGTTACGAGAACGGCGCTTTCGATGAGTTCATCATCTGGGAGCGGGCCCTGACTCCAGATGAGATCGCCATGTACTTTACTGCTGCCATTGGTCAGTGAGTGTGAAGGGCGGGGGCAGATCCACTGTCTGTTCCTAGGGATCACCCTGGTATCTGCCTCCTTTCCCAGCATTTCCCATCTCCCACTCTCCCGGCACAGCTATCAGCACTGCAGGCGTGAGATGTGTCCTAATGAACCTTATAAACACAGATGTGTGTAGAACACCTGTTCTCTGAGATAGAGGAGTTAACAATTTACTAGAGTGACTCTGAGATGAATGTTGTTCTGTTGATCATCGTGGGGTATCAAGGTATATGTGAAAGAGGATTATCGAAGGTTTTGGATAGCAGACATTCCAGGTCCATTAGTGTTTTTGATCAACAAATGTTAACTGCGTGCCTTCCAGGGGCTATACTCTGATGGGCCCTTGGAAAGCCCCAGAGATAACCTCTTCCTACTCAGCACAAGGCAGTTGTTCAGGGCAGGGGCCTGTGGGTAGGTAGACTGGGGTTCAAATCTTCATTGTGCCATAATGAACCATGAGACTTTGGGAAGTCATTTTTAAAAATTGAGGTCAAATTCATATAATGTAACATAAGCATTTAAAAATGAACAATTCAGTAGCACTTGGTACCATGACCTCTACCTGGTTCAGAAACATTTCATCCTCCCAAAAGGAAACCCCAGACCTAATAACCAGTCACTCCCCATCCTTCCTCTCCCAGATTCTGGCAACCACTAATCTACTTTCTGTTTTCACCTATTTTGGAGATTCCACATAAATGGAAATGGGTACTGTATAACCTTTTTGTCTTAATCTCTCAAATCAGTTTTGTTTGCTCTGTAAAATGGATAAAAATAATACTGTACCCTCTCTGGGGGTGGTGTTGGGATGATAAAATGAGAAAGAGCATGTAAAGCCATTAGCACAGTGCCTGGCATATGGCAAGAATCCAGTGGTTCTTAGATGCTTTTAAAGTTAATACTCACTTTCCCCCTACAATTCTATTTTCATTTTGTCCCCAAGTGAATGCACCAAAATTACAGCATGTAGGCACTCACACACATGTGGCTGCTGCTTCATTGGCACCCAGCGCAGTGGGTGTCAGGACCAGAAGGGAAAGGCCTGAGTTCCTGCCTGCCCTCGTTCTGCTTCTGACATTGAGTCCCTTGGTTGTCAGGATTCTGTTGATTGCATGAGAGAAAACCCAACTCAAAATAACTTCAGCCAAGGAAGGCATGTATTTCTTTTTCCTCTCTTGCAGTGGAAGCTCCAGGGGACACTTTGCTTCAGAAATGGTTTGGTCCAGGTGCTCACTTGATGTCAGTGGGAATCTCTGCATTTGACCCTGCCCTCTTTGTGTTAGCCGCTCCTGGTGCCGAGGTGGCTGCCATGCTTCTAGGGTTCCATGCTCAGCCCTCAGCAGCCTGTGTAGAAAAGAGGGAGCTCCTTTCTCTTATCATCTCCCACGCTGGGGCTGGGCAGGACTCCTCACATTGATCCATGCACCTTCCATGAGTCATTTTCTGTCTGGGTGTACAGAATATGCTGACTGGCTTAGGCCTGGGTCATAGTCTCCCACCCCCACCCTCCTTGAAATGGCAGTGAGGTCAGCTTCATCCAGAACATGTGGAGGGGAGGAGACTCCCAGAGGATGATCAGGGATGCTGGTCTCAGAAGGAACAGATGCTGTGCAGGCAAAACAGCCTGTGTCCCCTGCAGCCTCTGCCGTTGACATCTTCCAGCTTCCACCAAGGAAAATGGAATGCATTCCCTTTCCCAGCACTGACAGAAGGGCAAACTATAGTATCCTTCAGAAAAAAAAAAGGGATCAATCTACTGCATTAGTTATCACTTGTATTTATGTTATGAAAAGCCTGAAACAAATCCTGCCCTCCTCACAGTTTACTTGTTTTAGTAACACAGGAAAGAGGTGCCCTTATTTCTGGTTCTGTTCTTGTCAGAGCAACCCTCATTGCTAAAACACCCCTGGCCCTCTGTGTTTGGGCGGTGCTATGTGATTCTTTGGGGGATTCAGAAGAGTTTTCTATTAACACATTTTCCTGGGAGCGCGCACCCTGTGCCCTTCCTGAACTAGAACGGGATCTACCAGAATCCCATCTCACCTGGTGACCTGGTCCTGAAGACAAGGCATATGATGTAAACCATGTATACGAGAACGATCCCTGAAGTCCCCGGAAGGCCTGTGTGGGGCCCGATGTACCACTGCTCAGTGAATCCGTTAAAAAAATCTGGAGAGAACAGATGCTGGAGAGGATGTGGAGAAATAGGAACACTTTTACACTATTGGTGGGAGTGCAAATTAGTTCAGCCATTGTGGAAGACAGTGTGGCGATTCCTTAAGGATCTCGAAATAGAAATTCCATTTGACCCAGCAATCCCATGACTGGATATATACCCAAAGGATTATAAATCATTCTATAATAAAGACACATGCACATGTATGTTCGTTGTGGCACAGTTTACAATAGCAAGGACCTGGAACCAACCTAAATGCCCCTTGATGATAGACTGGACAAGGAAAATGTGGCACATACACACCATGGTATACTGTGCAGCCACAAAAAACAATGAGTTCAGGTCCTTTGTAGGGACATGGATGAATCTGGAAACCATCATTCTCAGCAAACTGACACAAGAACAGAAAATCAAACACCACATGTTCTCACTCATAGGCAGGTGTTGAACAGTGAGAACACATGGACACAGGGAGGGGAGCATCACACACCAGGGTCTATTGCGGGGGATTAGGGGAAGGACAGTGGGAGGAAGGGAGGGATAACGTGGGGAGAAATGCCAGATAGGTGATGGGGAGGTGGAGGCAGCAGAGCATCTTGCCATGTATGTATGTATGCAACAGTCCTGCATGATCTGCACATGTACCCCAGAACCTAAAGTACAATGAAAAAAGTCGGTAGAACTCATTCTTTACATGAAGATCTGTCTGCATTGGAAGCTATGCTGGTGCTGTAGGTGCCCAGAGGGAGCCTTTTTCTGAGTGACCTGGTCAGAGGTGACACCCTCCTCTAATCTCACAAGCTAGAGCCGGCACCGTTTACTGACCGATCCGTCCAGGTGTGGTGGCCTTTGCTGATACAAAGGCACAGTGCTGACCATCTGTCACCCTGGCCAGGTGTCCCCCCCCAGCACTGGAATGGACAGCAGCTCTTTCTGTAGAGGAGGAAGGAGAAAGCTGTGTTCAGAGCCGTGCAGTCTAAAAGTGTGTATCTTTGGACACCGGAAACACTCAGCATGTGGGAACTGGGACTGATGGGGGACCTGGCAGATTCCCATTTTCATTCCAGTCTCTGTGATTATCACTTGCAAGGATGGGCAGGATATCTGGACTGATTTTCACTATCACTCACTCTGCTTTCTGGACACACACGAGTTAAATTTGAGTTTGACATGACTCCTCTGTAACTCATTGGCACCTGAGGAGTGAATATCACTCTGACTTGGAGAACAGAGTGGTTCTGGGATCCGGTTCTCTCTGCAGCATCACACCTTCTGCATTCACCAGCGGCTCAGATCCACCCAAACTCAAGGGCTCAGTCACTTCTGCAGCCAGCAAGGGGTGATGACGTCATTTCCTCAGCTCCTCTAAAGCAACTTCAAGAGATTTTCCAAAAATGAAGTAGAATATCAGGTTAAGTCTGTGTTCTCAAATGGCAGGATTAGAAATAGTTGGGGGTGAAGAGGCAGAGAAAAGCCACTCGCGGCTTAATCTTTAGTCTTAAATGTTTCCATTATCTGTAATTATTCGTAATTAACCCCATGGGGTCTGAGTGCAGAGAATAACTGGAATCTTTGGGCTAGAAAGGGGCTCGGGAAGAGTTTTCTCTATCACTTTACTGGGGTCTATTGTCACTTTGGCGATCTCAGAGGAGGACACCCCCAGGGCTCCTGTCTGTGCTGGCCCAGCGAGTTGCAGTACTCCTTATTTTATCTCCAGCCAGTCTGGATGCAGTTGAAATCTATTTCAGTTTATTTATTTGAAATTGGTAATCCTTGTATAAAATCATCTTCTAATATGCTGACTTGCGTGAGGGGTGTTCAAAAGCAATTCAGAACACAAATGGAGAACAGTGTGACCTGGAGAAATCCATACAGTCTATCATTCAGCTGACTTCCTAGCCCATAATTTATCTCCAGCAGCATTCCTCTTCAAAACATTCTCAGACTCTTCCATGTGTCTGAAGCCAGGACATTTTGTAATAAGGACAGGTCTTCCTTGGGGTGCAAAAAGTGACCATGTTTTAGTCCTTAATCCAACCTTTTTTTTTTTTTTTTCTAGGAAAGCATGCTTTGTTGTCTTCAGCGTTGCCAGGCCTCCTCATGACACCCACAGCAAACCCCATGGTGAGCAGGTGCATCCTCCTTGGCCCCCCCCCCCCTTGCTGACATCTTTCTGCTTGGGCTATTTGCTGGGAGAGGTAAAATTCCATTAGGTGTCTGGGCTCTGTTATAAGCAGTGCATTGTCGGGGAAGAAATAACAAACGGAGGGAAGCCAACAGCAGCACTAGTTCTTCGTGCTAAGAGTGACTGAAGGGAAAACGCTCAGTCCCTGTCACCGGGAAACTCAGGTGCCGAAAATGGAGAAATGCTGGGCTCGTTCATGGGGCGGTGGGCGCCGTGAGTGGTGAACGAGGAATCCATCCTGCTTGGCTTCTCCCTGTGCCCTTTTTGTTTGATGTTAGAGGAAAAATTGTCATCTGGAATTAGTGTTGGTAATTAAAGAACTGTCCGTTCTTGAGAAAGTTAATATAATAGTGAGTGCACAGACTCAGACCCATCTACTGGAGTTCAAATCCAAGTTCTGCCACTTACTTTTGTGGAAGCCTCTCTGTGCTTAGTTTCATCCATGACACGGGGACTTATTTCATAAAGTTGTTGTGAGGATGAAATGTTAATATAAGCAAAATACTCACAAAAGTGTCAGGTACCTAGTAGGAGCTATATTACTATCATGGTATAAAAGCATTTGACCAGCTGGGTGTGGTGGCTACACCTGTAGTCCCAGCTGCTCAGGAGGCTGAGGCAGGAGGACTGCTTCAGTCCAGCCTGGGCAGCATAGTGAAACCTCATCTCTATAAATAAAAAAAGAGCAGCCGGGCACAGTTGCTCTCTCCTGTAATCCCAGCACTTTGGGAGGCTGAGGCAGGAGGATCACTTGAGGTCTGAAGTTCAAGATTAGCCTGGCCAACATGGTGAAACCCTGTCTCTACTAAAAACACAAAAATTAGCCAGGCATGATGGTACACGCCTGTATTCTTAGCTACTTGGGAGGCTTAGGAAGCAGAATTGCTTGAACTTGGGAGGCAGAAGCTGCAGTGAGCTGAGACTGCACCACTGCCCTCTAGCCTGGGCAACAGAGCGAGGCTCAGTCTGAAAAAAATAATAATAAAAGCATTTTTCATCCAGAGTAGGACACATTACATTTCTGCATAATATTTTGGTTTTAGTTCTTAGTAGAAACTCATGTTGCCAATTTCTTTCAGACGTCCACAGATGCCTACCATCCTATCATAACCAACCTGACAGAAGAGAGAAAAAACTTCCAAAGTCCCGGAGTTGTACTGAGCTACCTCCAAAATTTATCCCTCAGCTTACCTAGTAAGTCCCTCTCGGAGGAGACGGCCTTGAATCTCACCAAGGTAAGGCTATTTGATGTCTGTGTCTGGCAGACCAGGGGTAGCACAGTCACTGAGACCATAGACATGTTTTGTTTGACCTACATAGAGTTTAAAAAAGCAGGAACTTTCACTTAAAAGTTTGGGTTTCAGGCTTCCCATGAAGGAACAGCTGATGTGGCCCTTCTGGCCAGCTCTGTAGAGCTCAGCGGAACCTCCTTCGGGGCACTTGAGCCTTTGCTGTCATTTCTCAATGTCCAACCTGCCTGGTCTCCCCTGTGCAGCCACCTGGCCCCTGTGGGCATATGGGCTGGCAACTCCTAGTCTAAATAAACTCTGCTGCCTCCTGGCAACAGGTAAAAGGTGGAGGGGCCTCACTCGCACATCCGGTCATGGGGTGTGGACCACAGCCTGTGCACAGTGGGAATCCCCAAAGCTATCTAAACACTTAGAGACTGCAACATTGATGGCATTAAAATCAAGATGCTTCCTCTTTTTGTTCCTCCCAAGTAGTTTCCAGATGAAGGCAGAGGTGGGTTGTGGGCTCTCATGGCCTTGCTGTCTTCTGTTTCAGGGCCAGGGCTCATTTTTGCTGATGCAAAGACAGAATGGGTTTTGAGACTGACTCAGCTTGAAAGCACAGCATATGGGTTAGGAGCAGGTATATGGAGCCCCATGGCCCCATTGACCTTTGATCTGCAGTTACTGTGTGCCCTTGGTCAAGTGAGGTAACATCTCTGCCTCACTTGGCTCCTCTGAGATGCGGAGGAAATAACAGCACCCAGCTCAGCGGGGATGAATGGGTCCCTCCGTGCACAGATGGGTTCCTATGTGCTGGGTAAGTGGTGAGCACTTTTTAGCTTCTGGGCTGGGGCACTTTCAGGCTGCTTGGTGCCAGGGAGCTGCCCAGACGGTGGTGAGCACTTTGTAAGGGTTTGTACTTCTACTGATTTCCTTGCTGAAGACGTACCCAAAGAAGCAATGCAGAGCCTTGTGTTCAGGGCCCTGAGACATCTTGGAATGGAGGGAGGTTCCAACAGCTTTTCTGTCAGATAAGAGAAGTTAGACTTCTCAGATTTCATTCATTCTTTCATAGAAAATGCTAAGTTCTGGGGATTCAGGAGGACCAAGTGCCACTCTCTGCTTTCAAGAGGCTCAGGGTTGAGGGGGTGATGACAGGTCACAGAGTCTGAGGGGCTTGAAAGGGAAGCACACGGAGCTGCGGGACTCAGAGCTGGCTTTGCCCCCAGCTCCACCACTCCTGGCTCGGTGTCTGTGGGCAGGGTGTTCAAGCTCGGCACCCCCACTGGCCCACTGTGACACCGTGACAGGGACAGTGAGGTTGCCCGCATCTCTCAGGGGCTTCTGGCTGTGAGAAGCAGGGCCCTCTGCTCGGCGGACTTAGACTTCAGGCCATGTGCTCGCTTCGGCAGCAGGAGGCCCAGAGGTGGGAACCCTAGGGTTCACGAGCTCAGTCTTCACTCACAGCAGGGACGGGCCAGCACCGCTGCACTCCTCTCGGCACTTGTCCCTTTTCCCCCTGGCTGCAGGCCCCCAGCACCCACACCGTGCTCTAGCACGTCCACAAGGGAAAGAGACCGGGTCTGGAGACTCCCTCCTCGTCAGGGGGAAATCTTTCCCACGGTTCCCTTTGCGGAGTTCCCTTCACACCTCATTGGCCAGAGCTGGGCCACATGACCATCCCTGACCCAATCGCTGAGCAAGGGGCGTGGGATTGGCCCCTGGCTCAGCCAGTCATGAAGGAGCTCTGGGGTGGGGCCAAGGCTGTCCAGGGTGGGATCTCTGAAGGGAAGGGCCCGCTGGGTGTTGGGTGGTGGCTCAGGCCTGTGATCCCAGCGCTTTGGATGGCCGAGGCGGGCGGATTGCCTGAGCTCAGGGATTTGCGACCAGCCTGGGCAACATGGTGAAACCCCGTCTCTACTAAAATAATACAAAAAATTAGCCGGGCGTGGCGGCGTGCACCTGTAGTCTCAGCTCCTCGGGAGGCTGAGGCAGGAGAATCATTTGAACCCGGAGGCAGAGGTTGCAGTGAGCTGAGATCGCGCGACTGCACTCCAGCCTGGGAGACAGAGCCAGACTCCGTCTAAAACAAAAAAGAGCAGATGTGGACACGCGGGGAGGTCCTCATGCATGTACACACAAGACCAGGTGTGGTGTTGGGACAGGGCTTGGTATGTAGTAAGTGCTTTACAAATACTAACACTTGTTTCTGTTGTGATTGGGCTATAAGGCGTCACTGTGACAGGTGGTGCCTTGTGTGCAGTTACCACTTAATAAACACCCACACTCTGGGGACTAGTGCCCTGCCTATAGTTAGGGAATGCAGTCCGGGCTTAATATTCACTTTGGGCACTGGCGCCCTCCCGGCTAACTAGTCATGGTATACAGTTGGCACTCAATAAACACCCATTCCGGGCACAGGCGCTCTCCTCTCTGACTAGCTGTGGTACACAGTCGGCACTCAATAAACACCCACTCTGGGCCTGGGCGCCCTCCCCTCTGACTAGCCGTGGGTACCCTGAAGCATCTTCAGGAATGTGCAGCAGACACAGTCCAGGCTCCCTCTGTGTTTCTTGGTGTCTAGGGAAGCAGGGAGTCCAAGCGAGATTAAATAATTAGATGAATGTTGATTAAACACCTACTTGTGGGTGGGTTGCTTCATTAATTATAAAATGGATGGCTTAATGAGCCACAGTTGCAGTCTCATGAGTGGGTTCGCTGATGACTTTATTAAGTACACTGTGCAGCCTCGGCTCTCTGCCAGATGCTGGGCTTGGTGCTGGGGATGTGTGATGGATATGCCGGGCATTGCCCTGTCCTTGTGGGGCTTGTGACCTGGGCCGTGTCCAGTTCTCTGGAAAGCTGCCTGTGGGGTGCTAGTCCTAAAGGTCACACCTTAGAATCTTCTAGAAGGGTGTGTCCTGCCCTAGGGCAGGCCTGGAGACACTGTGGCCCACTGCTTGCCTGACTGTGATCTCTTCATCACTGGCTAGAAGGGTGTGTGTCGCACCTGATGCTGCAGTGGCAGCAGTTAGCCATGTCATTGTGGCCACGGCACCCAGCAGGTCCCTAAACTGAGCGTGATAGGGAGTGGCCAGGCTGGCAGGGCTCTGGGAAGAGTTGGTGGTGGGGCTGGCAGGAGTGAAGCGGGGGCAGAGTGAGGCAAGCAGAACTTGGGGCCAAGGCCAGACAGGCAAGTGCCCAGACAAGGCCAGGCAGGGCTGCGCTCTGTAGAGCCCAGGTGTGGGGGCTGGGGTGTTGGGTGAGGATGGTGTCTGTGCAGTGAGGTGGGTGGAGGCTGAGGCAGCTCCGTTTCCTCAAGGGCTGTCTGGTTTGGAAGACACATGGCAATGCAGGTCTATGTAGGAAACACTTCGTTTTTAAGCTCGGTCACTTTTGCTTTCTTTGGTGCTTTTCTTCCTTCTTCCCCTCAGCTAAACTTGAGAGTTAGAGGTTGCAAACTCACGTGGCTTGAGGGACTAAAGGAAATTTTTTTTTTTTTTTTTTTTTTTTTTTTTGAGACGGAGTTTCGCTTGTCACCCAGGCTACAGTGCAGTGGCGCGATCTCGGCTCACCGCAACCTCCGCCTCCTGGGTTCAGGCAATTCTCCTGCCTCAGCCTCCTGAGTAGCTGGAATTACAGGCATGTGCCACCATGCCCAGCTAATTTTTTGTATTTTTAGTAGAGACGGGGTTTCACCATGTTGACCAGGATGGTCTCGATCTCTCGACCTCGTGATCCACCCGCCTCGGCCTCCCAAAGTGCTGGGATTACAGGCTTGAGCCACCGCGCCCGGCCCTGGGACTAAAGGAAATGAATGCCTTGGGCCAGACCGAGCAAGAGTGGGAAGTAGAGGTGGGGCAGCCTGAATGCACCACCTCCTCTGCAGCCAGCAGTGGCCTACTACTCAGCGCCACCTGTCCTTAACCTTCAGGGTGATTGCTTTTGATTTTACAGGAAAACCCCCATACCTGGAGTTTTAAAATGGAAAATCTCCCAATTTTAAGAAGTGGGCAGTGAACTGAAATCTTAACTGAAATTACGTGCAAACCAAATAAAAGCCACCAACGAGGCAGGTTCGGCCTCTGTGTCATCTGTGTGGGGCCCCTGGCGTAGACCTGTTTTAGGGTATCTGGCTGGGTATTCTGCAGATGAATCATGCACATTTACCTACACCCCACTGATCTCTGACCCAATGAGAAGTTTTTGGCATCCATTATACAAACTTCCTTTTTTTTTTTTTTTTTCTGAGGTGGAGTCTCACTCTGTCACCCAGGCTGGAGTGCAGTGGCGAGCTCTTGGCTCACTGCAACCTTCGCCTCCTGAGTTTAAGTGATCCTCCCGCCTCAGTCTTCCAAGTAGCTGAGCGTACAGGCATGCACAACTACACCCAGCTAATTTTTGTCTTTTCAGTAGAGATGGGGGTCTCACTATGTTTCCCAGGCTGGTCTTGAACTCTTGACCTCAAATGATCCACCCTTTCTAGCTAGCCCCCCAAGTGCTGGGATGACAGGTGTGAGCCACCATGCCAGGCCCCATTATACAGGTTTCTGTGGCATCCTGGCTTCTCACTTTTCCACTAGCAGCTGGACAGGAAAATGGCAAGGAGTCGTTTCCTGTACTGCACTGTGAGGTGGTGATGAGCTGTGTGTGGCTCGTTCAGCTAGAGATGCGCTGTGAGTGTAAGATACACAGTGGACTTCCAAAACCTTGTACAAAGAAAAGGGAAATTTCTATTTATAATTTCATATGGATTCTGTATTGAAATGATCATATTTTAGGTTTTTGAGCTAAGTAAAATATATCATTAAAATTTTCGCCTTTTTTTTCACTTCTTAATATGGTACTTGAAAATGTAAAATGATAAAGGTGGCTCATGTTATATTTCTGTGTGACAGACTGCTCTGGATGAAGAGTCAGCAAACTATGGCTCTTGGGCCAAATCTGTATTGTCTATAGCCACTTTTGCACTGCCGTGGCAGAATTGAGTGTTTGTGACACAGGGCATGACCCATGAGGCCTGACCTCATTCTTATGTGACCATTTAAGAAGTTTGCTGCTGTGCTCCAGCTTAGTGAAGACAGGATGGTGATTGTTTCCTATTTCATTAATTCTTAAGGCCTTGCACTCTAAGGTCTCAAAAAATAGTGATCTCATAAAGATGAATGAAAGAGTGAGGAGTTTTGATGATGTGTTCTCTAAATATTTAGTGTCTCAGAGTGTGAGGAAGAGGGTGCGTAATCTGGAGATGGCAGTTTGGTGGAGATGTGGGAGATTTTGATCATCCTCGAAGTTTAATTCTGGTGCTGATAGTTGGAGACAAACAGGAGCCCGTGTGAATAATGCAGATGAGTGAAATGGACAGGGTGTGAGGCTATGGGGAGTGGTGGGGTCTGGGGAGCTGAGGACACAGCCGTGAAGCCTGAGCTGCTCAGCTGTGGTCAGTTGTGGTTTTATGGGAATGTGGGCTAGGGGGTGTCCAAGCTTCTGCTTTTTTCAAAAGAAGTAGAAAGTCCACATTTTCATTTAAATCTCCTGATTAGGAAACAGTAGGAATTAATTTCATTGTTTCCTTAGAATAATAGTGAGCCCAACTAAACATAGTTTTAAGGTGAACTGACCAAGGGCCCGAATAGCCTCTGCTTTCTAAAGGGGTCATTTTCAGTTAACACAAGTGCTTCAACATCAGTTTGGTTTCTTACGCTGAGAAAAGCAGATCCAGCAGGCCATGATTTTCCCACCCGTCCATCCATTCAACAGGCTTTCACGGAAGGCCTGTGGCGTCCCCCAGGCACTGTGCTAAGGCTCCTGCCGTCACTGAGCAGTGTCTGTTCTGACTTTCCGGAGCTGGCCACTGACTTTCCAGGGCTGTCACAGGGAGCAAATAAGATAACATCTATAAAAGGGCTTTGTAAAAGACAATGTGGCACGTGCCTCAGCTGTTTTCATTTATTGCTGTGCATTAAATTGAACTGATGGTTGATAGAGACCCATAGGGAGATGCGGGGACAACTCAGGGTCTTCCAGTTTGTCACCTAAGGATAGGTGCTGAGCAGTGTCATTTTGTCCCCTTTAGGCCTTCTTAAAAGCCGTGGGAGAGGTCCTTCTACTGCCTGGTTGGACTGCTGTTTCAGAGGTAAGAGTAAAGAACATGGCCGGGCATGGTGACTCAGGCCTGTAATTCCAACACTTTGGGAGGCCAAGGTGGGTGGATCACTTGAGTCAGGAGTTCAAGACCAGCCTGGCCAACATGGTGAAACCCCGTCTCTGCCAAAAATACAAAAATTAGCTGGATGTGTTGGTGGGGAGTTGCCTGTAATCCCAGCTACTTGGGAGGCTGAGGCAGGAGAATTGCTTGAATCAGGAGACAGAGGTTGCAGTGAGCCGAGATTGTGTCAGTGCACTCCAGTCTGGGTGACACAGTGAGACTCTGTCTCAAAAAAAAAAAAAAAATTTTGATCTTCAAAATGTATGTGCCTTGGGAACCATTTTATCTTCCTAGGAGTGGCATTATATGGCCCAGTTTACATCCATAAAAAGAATGATGTGTCTTCCAGTCCTGACATTTGGGATATGAGAGCTCATTTTGAGTAGATGTGCAGCTGATTCAAAATGCCTTGTCCTCTACAGCAAAAGAATTGCACATACATCAGTAATGTGTTAATGTCCTAAACACGGAAGAAGGAAATGATGGTTTTTTTCCCCATGAGAAATGTGTATTTGGTTCATCTTGGTGATTTTATAGAATATGTATATTTTTACCATCACATCATTGTTGAATGATAATAAAAAGCTTTTTACATGAAAAGTCACTGGATTTAGTAAGAAGAGGAGAACACATGACAATATGTACTTCATGATCAAGGTGTAAGGAAAAGCTTCTCTTGTTCTCTGTACTCAGCTAGAAAAGAGAATGAAATAATTTTTCCCTTATTTCTGAAACTAACTATTGATTGTATTTATTTAAAAAGAAAACAAGTAAATAGTTGTGAAGAAGTTAGAAAATGCAGATAATAAAAAACATAAGATGAAAATCACTTCAAATCCTAAAACTGTGAGATTATTAACACTCTTGTAATTTTCTTATAGTCTGGTTTTCAATTCACTTATGTATGTGTGTACATATTCAACAAACATATTGTATATTTGATTTAATTTGCTTTTTCTAATTATGTCAATATCACTTTCTAGTGAGACTAAGTATTCACCTGCAACACTATTAGTCAGGCCAGGCCAGGATGTGCTGCAGTAACAAATAGATCTGCACATCTTAGTGGCTCAACACAATAGAAGTTTCCTTCTCCCTCATGCAAAGTCCAGAGTGGGTCAGAGGAGCCTCTTTTCCACCCAGGTATTCAAGGATCCTGGCTCCATCCATCTTCCAGTGCTGGCTTTTCAACATGTGGCTTCCAAGGTTGCCAGGCAGGGGCAGAGGAGGGTGAGGAGGACTCTTAACTGCCTTGGCCCAGAAGGGTACTAACCACACCAGTGTGATATTAAAGTGCTCATTCTCCTAAGCCCCGATAATATTTAAAAAATGTTTGCCAGTTTGAGAGGCAGAAGTGGCATTTTATTTTCTCGTTATTAATAAGATTGTGTTAGAGTTTACATTTGATAAACTTTTGTTTGAACAATTTCAAGTGGAATGAGATTAGGTGTAACATTGGCAAAGGAAGAGAAAAAGGCTCAAGAGTGTGAGATGGATACAGTCTTACTTATAAACCAATGACTTTTCAGAAGGTATGACCTTTTTCATGATTTCAAGGGGACTTTGTGTCCAAAGCTGCAGGCTGGGAACACCTAGAGAACAGCCAATGGAAGACCCAGGCAGACCTATTTTGTGCATGATTTTAAATTAACTGCTTTTGAGTGCAAAATATTGCACATTTGTCACAAAATATGAATAACCAGGAAACTGTCCAGACTTAGGCAGGGTCCAATATGCAGTAAAGAGAACAGATGAACCGGTCTCCACCCTACAGAACTGCATGCCAGAAGCACAGACTTACCTTTGCTTAACTGGGCCTGGCTGATTGAATCAGGCCATAGGCCTACAAGAACATTCTAAAACTGGCCTCAGCATTCTGTTTGCAGTTCATTACGCTCTCCTGGAGTGTGCGTTTGTGGGAGAATGCTGAGGACTTAGCAGTAGACAGGTACTTCCCCAGAAAGGCGGAAAGAAGAGAAGCAGTGAAGGCAGAGCTCAGCGGAGCAGCTCAGCAGGGCTTAGGAAGAGTCTCCCTAGGTGACGTGTGTCTGAGGATGAGGGCAGTCAGCCTGAGAGCGGATGTGTGCTCTGAGCTCTGAGCACTGGGCCCTGAGCTGTCTGCAGGTTCAGGGGCCGGGAGGGCCCCTGCTTTCCTGGAGGCAGTCTCCACCAGGATCCTCTGCCCTGGAGCTATGAGTGGAAAGTAGGCTCTTGGAGCAGAAGGAGAGCACCTGGGAAGTCAAGGAAGCCAGAGACAGTTGGGGTGCTGGCATCTCGGAAGCAGCTACCCTTCATGGAGAAGGGGCAGAGCTGCTGGCATCTCCGTCCTGGAGTGGACCTTAGGTCGATCAGCTCCTCCTTGTGAAGCGCAGAGAGGCGGGGGAGGGTCTGGAATGTGCTGAAGGTTGCTCTGTGAGTTCAGGGAGGATGCAGGACCAGGGGTCGGGTCCCCTCCGTCCCCGTGTCTAAATGTAGAAACACAGGAGCCAACGATGGCTGGGATGATGGGTCCACCCGGGCTGTGTCCATGCTCCGTGAGCTCAGTCCGGTGTGTGGCCTCCGTGTGGCCCCTCCTGATCCATGGAAAATGGCAGTCATGTGACTTCTTCCTCCCTCTTGGCTGATTTGGGGAAGCTGGATTTTGTGTGCTTGGCGTGCCTGCCTGCTGAGTGGTGGATGTCATGGCTCCTGGCGTTTGTGTTGCTGCAGGACCGCACCGTGGTACTGAGTCTCGTCTACACCATCGACACCGTCATGGGCCACATATCCTCCAACCTGCATGCCGGCACGTCCCAGGTCACCGTGGAGGGCTCCTCTGCCATGGCAGGTAGCTGTCGCTCGTAAGGGTGTGCCACATGGCAGGGGCAGGGGCAGGGGCTGGAGCTGGAGGCGGTGTCTTGCTGCCCGCCTCCTCACACCCTTCGTGGAGAGCCACACTCCGTCTCCCTGACTGCACTGCCCCGTGCAAACCACATTTGGAAGGAAAACCTATGGTCAGATCAGTGTGGGCGTGTTCGCCCATGATGTGCACGCAAGGCGGGTGAGCTTTTCCCAGTGACTTGGGAGACCTGGCTGGGGCAGTGGTCTCAATTCAGAGCAGGAGGCAGAAGCAGTAGTGCCTGTGAGAGTCTGTGGAATAAAAGGGGCAGCCTCAGGTTTCTGGAGTCAGCTTGCTCTCAACTGTGCTCCAGGATAACTGTCACACAGTTGTCTAATTGTAGAGGCAGAGGTGATGGCCTTTTGGTTTTAAAAGTCTTTACCTGGAGCTCATTATAATGCTGATACTTCGCTGCAAGAGCCAAGCTGGGGAAAATGGGCTGAAGTGAGCCACAGGGGTTAGTTGGGAGAAGAGCCAATGTCACTGCATCGCTGAGCAAGGCCCATCCTTTCATCGTCCCTGAGAGCTGGGACGCTGTGCTGGGCGGGGCTGCCCCGGGTGAGGAGCCCCGTGCTGCGCGGGCTGGAATGCTAAGCCTCACCGTGGCAATCACTGCCGGAGCTCTTCTTTTTCCTTTTTTTGTTTCTTTTGAGGCCTTGCCTTCTAAAGGTAATTATACTTCCCATGGGGAGCTTGATCTGTTAAAATACAAAAGCAGATGGGGTGCGGTTTTGCAGTCTGACTTCCTGCAGCCTGTGAGCTCTCTGACGGGACTTCCGCTCTCTCTGGCTTCTTCCACTGCAGAGTTTTCCGTGGCCAAAGTCCTGCCCAAGACCATGAATTCCTCCCACTACCGCTTCCCGGCCTGTGGGCAGAACTTCATCCAGATTCCCCACGAGGCCTTCCACAGCCATGGTGAGTGTGGCTGCACCGGACTCCCTGCCAGAGTGGCTCCCACAGTCTTTCTGAAGAGTCCTCAGCTTTGGTGGGTGTGCACTGCACCAGTGAGCTGCGATGCTCCTCCAGGCCTCTTGTCCCGTCCTGCAGGAGAGGCTCTGGGCAGCGTTCTCAGGCGTGTCCTCGGGCCAGGCTCATGGATGCACTTGAGAGGTTCCTTAGTGATGCTAATGCTGTGCCCACTCCAGGCCACGGAACTGGAATTTGGGGTGGGGTCTGGGAGCATTTACAACTGCTCGCCTGGTGAATCTGGCCTGCGGGGAGTCATCCTACCTACATCCTCTCAAATCGGCACCCGCCTGGTCAGCCAAAGTTAAAAAGATGGGGCCGCCTCCCCTCCCTGCTCATGTGGCTGTGGGCCAGGTGGTGAGGGGTTTGCCTATTCAGGAACCTGGGGTTCCATTCTTGTGCAGGCCCAAGTCGAGTCACATAATAAAAAATGAGGCTCGGGGGATCCCCTGCCTCTGACCAGGGAGCCACTGTCACGCTGCTGAGTTGCTGCAGAGTTGTTGCAGTCTTGGTGCTTGCAAATTCTGCCTGAGTGCCCTTCTCACTTCCTTCTCCCCAGAGGGTTCTTGTGAGTGAGGGGTGGCACCACGCATGTTGGGGTGAGGGGCTTTGTGTTTCTCCTGCCCGTGGCCTGGAGCACTGACAGCACCGGCCGCTCTGCTCTCTCTGCAGCCTGGACCACTGTCGTGGGTCTTCTGTACCACAGCATGCACTACTACCTGAACAACATCCGGCCTGCGCACACCAAGTGAGTCTCGAGGGTGCCCAGCTCAGGGGTGTGGGTGTGCGTAGGTCTGCTGAGTGGCTGGCCACAGGGATGCCCGCCCTACACGTGGTCACACCCATGCACAATACCGTGTCCGAGAACCCTGGACATGAGCGCTGGGCACTTCACCACTCAGGTAAGGAAATGTGCAGCATTTTGAAGAGCACTCAGGAACTGCAGGCCCAGGGCCAGGCTGGCAGAATGGAGGTCAGGAGCACAGCTAGGAGACCCTGCCAACCCACCTGGACCAAACTGTGTGACCTTGGCAAGAGACTTAACTTCTCTGAGCCTCAGTTTCTGCTGCTGTGGAATGAAAGACAACAGACCTGCCTGCGTCAGTCAGGGGCAGATACACAGATGGGCAAAGCCATCTCACACCAGCTTAAGTGGAAGGCCGGGAAACCGAGGGCTAAGGGGACTGAGAAGGGAGGAGCAGGTGGGCTTCAGGCATGGCTGGACCCAGGAACCTTGAGGATGCTGTCTAGACCTGCCGTGTCTGTCCCCTGCCTCTGCTGTCCTCCAGACAGGCCCCTGCATAGGACCAGAGCTGGCTCCTGCAGCATCGGTTCATGTGGGTTTGGGTCCTGAGGACCCAGAAGAAGAGCAAGGGCAAGGGGACTGCGAGGGGGATGGGGAGGGTGGGGAGGGCAAGGGAAATGAGGAGTGGGGGTGGGCCTCTTTCCCCAGGAATGTAGTCGTATCGCAATTTTGTGATCTGGAAGAAGCGCCGTCTTCTGGGTCAGATTTCTCCGGGAAAGCCTGCATGCCTTCCAAGTTCCTCCTAATGAAGGAAAGTGGGGAACCCGCCGCTGTGTGTGATTTCCAAAATTCTTCAGAAAAACGGTCCAAGGAAAGTGCCGTCTATTTTCCTCATAAAGATGCCATCTCAGTTATTTGGAGAAATCTTTCCAAGATAGTGAATGAAAAGTTGACCCTTCCTTGGCCCCTCCTGCTGAAGTTTCCACCACAGAACTGGCCTTTTGGTGAAATGCAGGAGACGTGCATTTGCGAGGTGTCACTGTGTGACAGAACCTGCATGAGAGAGTGGCATCTGTGCCACTGCCCACTTACAAAAGGCGAGAGGACTGCTTCCAGATGCAGGGTACAGACATTTCAGGGGCAGTTCACTGTGACCACCGGAACCTGACTCCAGCCAGGTGTCAGCCAACTCTTTCATGAAGGGCCAGCTTGTAAATTGCCTTGGCTTTCCAGAACTCTGCCCTCACAGAGGGGAGGCAGTCAGAGACAGTATGTGAGGGAATTGGGGAGTGGCTGTCTTCCAATACAGCTTGATTTACAAAATCAGGCAGCCAGCCCGTGAGCTGCAGTTTTCGGATCTTTGCCAGATCCTCCATTAGATCAGCGCTGGCAGGCGTGGGCAGAGAGGCTGGCCGGCCTGCTCTGAGGAGCCCACAGCCTTGCAGATGGAAGAGAGTCTGTCTCGCCTATCCCCAGGGCCTCAGCCTTCACCCTCTCTGTGGTCCTCACAGGCCCAGATATCTGCAGAGAGGACAGTAGAGCCCCAGGATTCAGGCCACTGTGTCCCAAAACAATGTAGCTAACTCTGACTTCCCCCTACAAACTGAGGGCCCAGAAATCATACAGGCAGGTCATCTCTGGTTGGTCAGCATTGACACTAACCCCACAACAAGTTTCATCAGTGGCACACTTATGTGCTGAAGTCAAAACGGAATTGCTTTGCAGCGATGGAAAATGTTTTTCATTTACAGTGAAGTTGGGTGTTCAGCCCAGGTGAAGGCTCAAGTCAGCACTTAGTGCAAAGATGCCTTGTCGTCCAAATCAGCCTAGAAAAAATCATCCAAACAGCTCACCCAGTAAGGTCTCCGGACTTGTTTGTCACATTCTGTCCTGTGGCAGAAGAGGTGGATGGAAGTGGAGGGGCAAAGTGATTGGTTAAAAGAACAGATTTAGGTCCAGACTCCTGCTTCCTGCTCCGGCAGGCGGCGTCCTTAGCTGTGTGACCTTGGGCAAATGACTGGAGCTTGAGGCCTGTGCTCTCCTCTCAAAACAGGAATAATAAAAGCACTGATTTCTGAGGGTTCCAAGGAGGACTGAATGAGTTAATTGTGTAAGCAGTGCTTGGTATTCTTAACCATGACACGGAAGTGCCTGCTTTTGTGATTTAGTGAGCTGATTGGGCATTTGCGCCATTTTGCCTCTGAGACAGGATTTGATTACTGATTTGATTACAGATTTCCCCAGATAACCTGGGAAGCAGGTTAGTACAGTGGTCGTGCTGACAGCACTGGTGTGTGCCAGGCTTCTGCCTGCCTGCAGTGGGCTTCCCTCCATCTTTGTCTTCATATTGTGCACTGTCATCCTCATATGTCCACCGTGTGTCGTGAGGATAAAAGGATGCTTTGGTGCCGTGATGTGCTTTAATTCCTTCCCCAGGGACGGGGGTGAGGCTCTGAGTCAGTGAGTGAGTCTCAGTGTGCAAAGGGTGGGGTCTGGGCCAGAAGAAACTTTTGTTGCCATGACCAGGCCCAGGCAGACCATTGTAGGGCCCCTGTGATGACTACAGGGGCAACATCTGACCACCCAAGGCCCAGTTGGGGCTTAGCTGGTTCCTGCCAGGCTGCCTAAACCCCGAGGATCCTTTGAGTCTCGCTCGCCGCCTGGCCCCCGTAATGATGGAGACTGTTCAGCTTCTACCGGTGCTTGATCTAGGCCTGGCCAGCACCTGGACTGCGGTTCCTCCAGGTAGACGGGGCCAAGACTCGCCTGCTCCCGTTCCTCCTGTGAAGGTGGAAGCCACGGCCCGTAGAAGGAAGGGCCTCTCCCCAGGCTATGAGGGACTCACATGTGATGAGTGGGGAGGTGGACCTGGCTCAGTGTCTGTCCATAGTCACCATGGAGTAACACAGAGCATTGATGGAACCAGTAGGTCACAGTTTCACAGCCCTCAGTGCAGTGACAGAACCAGGCAGAAGCCATCCGTGCATGTGCAGACCAGCAGGAGAAGTTCTAGCTGTCACCAGGTTGGAGGGTGCCTGGTAATGGGGATATCTGCCGAACTCCTGCAGCCACGTGGCCACACTCACATTATCGACGTGGGACACATTGTGGGCCATGTCTCTTGCTGTCACATCACGGGGAGACAGCCATGCCTCCTATGGCATCCTCCTGTCAGACGCATGGCCAGACGCCCCTCACCAGGAACCAGTTCAACACAGCTGAGCCAAGGGATGTTGGTGCTGCTGTGGTTTGGGTTCAAGGGAAAATAGGCTGGGCAGTTCCAGACTGGGAAGACTGAAGAGGTTCGCTGCCGGAGCTAATGCACGTTCGTGGGTTGAGAGACGCGGAGCTCCGGAGGACATGAGGGACAGTGGGCGGGGCGTGTGCAGTTGACTCTGGGCTGTACATTAGGGCATCTTGTAGGGTCTGCGTTAAATTTCTGAGTGTGATCATTTGATGGTTACGTAGGAGGAGGTCTCCATTTTTAGGAGACATGTAGAGATGGAGTGTGCTGTGATGCCGCCAAGGCACCACTAGTGCTTCAGCAAAAAGGAAATGTGCATGTGTGCGTGCATGTGTGTGTGTATACACAGGGGCATGTTCATTGTGTGAGCTTGTGTGTGCTTGTGTGGTATATATGTTATGTGTGCACACCTGTTGTGTGTACGCATGTGTGCACAGGTGCATGTGCATGTGTGCACACACAGGTACATGCACATTGTGCATGTGTGTTTGTGTGGTGTATATGTGTTATGTGTGCACATGTGTGTCGTGCACATGTGTGCCGTGTGCATGTGTGTGATGTGTGTGCATATGTGTGATGTATGTGTGTACATGTGCATGTGCATAGGCCTGCATGTATGTGCATGGTGTGTGTGTGTCAAGTGTGAGTGTGACCATGCTGGATAAAGTGAACATGGCAAATGATAAGAGCTAAAAGTGTAGGTGAAGTGCATTCGTTGTACTGTTTTCTGGCAAATTTCCTGTGGGTTTGACTATTCACAGTACACTGTGGGGTTCCTGGTGCAGGCTTTTCCGAAAGGCCTTTGCTGCAAGACTGCTTGATCCAGAGAACATCATCATCCAGGCCGTGTCGGCGCTGAGGAGTCCACCTGTCGTCCTCGCTGCTCTCTCCTTCTGCTGTTTGTATTAGTCATGGGCTCAGGTCTCCTTCAAGAATTCACTGTCATCCAAGATCACACTCAACAGATGCCGCCGTGTGCCGCCTTGTTCACAAGATTTGGAGTTTCCTTCACACTGTCTTCCTAGGGTGGCGCTGAATTCTCCTGCTGAGGGTGGCTGAGAAGCAGCGCCTGACGGATGGGTGGGGCTCCATGAGCACACGGCTGTGTGTCAGCAGGAGCCAGCTATCAGGTAGTTCCTTTACCAGGGAGTGTTTTCATTTGCGATGTTTATTCACCCTCGACGTGATGTGGTAACTGTGGGGACCTGAAAATTCTCCAGATAATCGAATCACAGCCCCTTTTCTTACTACACTTATTCTGACGTCTTTGGATTGAGTTCCGGAGCCAGTCTCCTGCACATGCTGGAAGTCTCCATGCCTCTGTAGATTTCAGCATTCCTCTTCAGTCTCACGTGACATTAAGTCCTCTCCGTGTACCCGAAGGCAGAGCGGAGTAGCAGTGTGCCTTTGGCTCAGATGTGCTGTGCAGTGTGAGGCCACAGAGCCTGACCGTCATTGCGGGTGCATGGAGCTGGGTAATAATGGGGCACGTTGAAGGAAGGAGGATTTGCATTAGTCACGGGCTCAGGTCTCCTTCAAGAATTCTGAGGTGCACTCAGGAGTGGAGGGCTGTGGGGGACAGCAGTCAGTGGGCTAGGATCAAGAATGGGGGTGTGCTGCTTCCCCCAGGGCCAGCCAGACAGGGGAGAGCGCCATGCCCAGGCAAAGATGGAGGGGCCCCTGGGCAGCAACTGTGGCCTGGTAGACTGAGGGAAGCGAGAGTCCTGGCCTCACTGTCTGCCCCGACACCCTTTGACCTCCCTGGGGCTTCCTGTTCACTTAGCACACAAAGGCAGGGAGCTCGGATCCTGGCTGATGTGGCATAGAACAGGGTGGGTGGAGACAGGGTATGAGGGGCAGAGGAAAAGCCAGTACCACCCCTGCTCTGCCCTGCCCCACCTCGCCTCTGCCCCCACCTTTGCCAGAGGAAAAATGCTCGTAAGGAGGCATCTAGCCCCATTCTCATCTTGACCTGGCTGATATCTGACATCACACTGGTTACCAAACTGGGCCTGGCGGAGGCCACGTATTCCCGGGATCCAGGAAACCACTCCAGATTTGCATTCGTATCATTTGTGTTCATTGAAGATTCTCACTTAATGTTTTCCGTACGCTTTTCCTAAGAAGTTGATCTAAGTCATCACTGCCTGCCTGTGAGTAGATTCATCCACTCACTCACATGCGTGCTGAGCACCCACAGTGTCAGGCGTGCTTCCAGGAGCTCGGAGAGCAGGAAACCAAATGGGAAAGCATCTGGACCCAAGGGAGCTTCTGTTCTGGGAGGCAGATGGCGGCCACTGGTTGTGTCATCGAGAAATGTCACGGAGGGAAAGCCGAGGGCGAATCACGTTGCATGTTTAGGGCCCGAAGCCCACGGTTGTGACTGTTGCCGGCTAATGGCATAGCCCTAAGTGTTGGTAGAAACATGGTTTTTCCAGCATGTTTGGTGGAATTGCGTAGGTGTTGAGTTCACAGAGCTCTACGGAAAAGGTCATGAGCATCGGGTGCAGAGAGTGAGAACCAGGCTCCTGGCTGAAGCAAGCGCCCCGCAGGTTTTAGGGCCCTGGAGTCACACACGGGGCAGGGCCGAGGCCCAGGTTCTGCGGGTGAGTCGGGCCTGTGCCCGCGGGGCTCTGCCTTGGTCCCAGCAGCCTCGAGCCCACCCTGCCTTTCTGCGCTATGCATGCTCCGTGATGAATGTTCTCAGAAGCTGAATGGTGTTATTCTGGGGAAACGTCTGAGATACTGCAAGGGTCTGTGGTTCTGTAGAGCAGAATGTTTATGTATGTTCTGTACGTAAACATAGCCTGTATTTCTGTGGGACTAAAACTTTCTGGGCAGGTGTATTAGCAAAAAGTCCAAAAAACCTCTTCCAAGGGGCTACAATGAAACAAATGGGAGAGAAGCATGGAACCAGAGTGACGCTTTCTTCTCGATTTCTTTTTTAAAGTTTGTGTTTTATTCCATGTGTGTCATCTGGACTGTGGGCTTGGATCAATAACGTGGTCACTTAGGGGAATCACCAGGTAGAGCGGTCACGTCTGTTACTCACAGGTCTGAGACTCGATGCCCTGATTTGCCCCACACTCTGAACTGGTGACGCTCTGCAGGAAGGAGCTTCTGCAGGAGCAGACAGGGTGTTCGTTCCTATGTCGCCATCTTGGTAAACACTTTGTATTTGCAATTCCAGGAGTGCTTTCGCATGGTTCTTGGAGGCCTGCTCTGGTTCAGGGATGAGTGTAAGGAGACAGTGCAGAGGCTGGGGTTGGGGCGGGGTATGCCTTTACTCCATGAGCCCCACCGCCCATCCCAGGCAGGGTCACTGAACATGGTGTTTGACTCTAGTTAGAACGAAAAACAAATTGAGGGAGGAAAAAGATGGTGCCCCAGCTCCCCGGGCTCTGTGGAATGTCCTGAAGGTGGTTCCGTGGGCATCACCTGCAGATTCCTGAGTCAGTGAGTGCTGTGGGCGGCAAATGGGGGAGGCACATGGGACCCAGGCGAGGCCCACACAGAAGCAGATGGCTGGGTGACCACAGGGGGCCTGGCAACCCCACATCCTATGCGTCTTTGTGTAGTCACCCCAAATTCAAATTCATGCAACAGGTACGCAGTGACCTCTGTGTGCCAGGCAGGGCTGGGATCACATCGGGCACATGGGCTGAGGGCACGAAATTAAAGGAGCCGGTCACCCTCGGAGTCATTCGGTGCCTCACTCACCAGAGCCTAGATGTGAGCACCTTCTTCAATCTTGTACTTCAAGTGCCTGGCTTCCCTCACCCTCCTCCTGGCCCTAAATATCTTTTCAAGCTCATAACCCGAGACAGGCACAGTAGGCATGTTAGGCTTCTTTTGATTGGTTGCAAGGGACGGAAAACGCATCTTAAACAGTTCTAGGCAAAGGGGGAATTTGTTGGATCATGTAAGCCAAGAGCTCTGCAGGCAGCTGGCTTCAGGAGCAGCTTGATCCAGCATCCCATTGATGTCACTGGGCTCCATCTTTTGGCAGTTTCCTTCTCAGTCAGTCTTCTTCGTCATGATTGCAAGCTGTTCCCAGGGCCTTGTGCCTTCAGGGCATGGGGAGAAGTCCGGCTGGGAGACACGAAGATCTTTGAGACCACATTCTTCCCCCACCTCGCCTTGTGGCATCTTCTTGGATTTGACGTCATTCCTAAATGGTCCCATGGCCTGTGGGCTGCAGTGTACTGACTGATCCAGACTCGGATACCAGGGCTTCCTCCTGAGTCAAGATGCGTCAACTCCAGGCTGTGTGGGCTGTGAGCGGGGAAGGGGATGGTCACCTGGAGGGAAATGCAGGCGCTTTGATCAGGAAACCGATGAATGAATACCGGGTGGGGAAAACGTCAGATGGCCACTGCGCCGTCTTAGAATCAGTGAAATTGAAGTTCAGACAGGGTGAGTTACCTGTCCACAGCCACACAGCTGATTTAAGTGGAATTGCTGGGATTCATGCCCTGCTGCTTTGCCATCTTGCTCTTATAAACTCTTTGAGGTCAAGGGCTCTGTCTCACTTCTTGGTCCTGGCATCAAACCTTAGAAAGAGTGAGTACTGAAGATGAGAATTCAAATGACGAGTCAAATCATGGAATAATGGAGCTCGCCTGCAGGTCCCAGCTTCATATCTTCAAGAGAGCAGCTGGAGCTGAATGATGGAAATCAAAGTTTCATCCAAAGAAGATTTTGGTTTCAAAAGTTTCGGGCAGAACGTGAGGCTCTCAGCCCAGGTTCTGGCCGTGTGCTGTTCCCATGTATTTCCCATTTTGTGATGATTTCCGTCTCTTCTTCAGGATCGCGGAGGCCATGCGTCACCAGGACTGCCTGCTGTTTGCCACCAGCCACCTGATTTCCCTGGAGGTGTCCCCGCTGCCCATGCTGTCTCAGAACCTGTCGGACTCTCCGCTCATCACCGTCCACCTCAAGCACAGACTGGTGAGTGCCGGTGTCTTCGATCTGGTTTCACACTGAGGACTGCTGGGTTGTCTGTGTGCTTGCTTAAAGAATCTCCAGCAGCCTTGGTCCTGGCCAGAACTGGCACCTTCCTGTCCCTGAAGCTCCTTTTCTTGGGCCTTTGTTTCTGAGCTGCAGTGGGAAGCCCCTTGCATAGTGCCTGGGCTGGCCGCGTGGTGTCGATGCTGGGGAAGAGGCCTCAGAGCTGGCTCCTATAGACGTGTGTGCAGCGATCACCAATCTTCCTCTGATTTATGGCAGGTGTCCTCACTGGAGGAGGGGCTACCTTGGCCATCGCACTCACCATGTGTATTAGTCATCAGCAAGATGTAGCACTGTGTTCTGTTAGAGAGAAACATGTTTCAGAGCTCAGGAGAAACCATTTTTATGCTCTGGCATTGCGCGATAAGCTTTTGGTCCTGATGCTTCATAACTGCTTTCCTCTCCACATGTTGTTTATTTTTGCCAGTGAGTAAGAAGGACCGAGACATTTGGGATACAGATGCCCTGCTGTTCTTTAGTAAAAGGCAAAAGGTGTTTACAACCTGAAGAGAAACCAGAGTATAATACTGCCGTTCTTTAAAAAAACGCATGTGCTGTTTCCCACTCCAGGTTCATGTCAGGAGGTGTGGTGTTGATGTGACACTCAGAGGGTGCAATTTTTCAAGGCATTTATTAAAGAACTCACTGTGGTTTTGGTCTGAAATAACACTAAAGGCATTTCCTGGCAGGATTTTGTTTCATTCTGCTTTGCTCTGCCCTGTGGTCAAGGCTGAGTGTGTGCACACCTGGATGGGTGTTCCAGTTCCTTCCAGGGTGAGTGACTGTGTTTCGGCCCGACCTGGGAAGGGCCCATGCACTTGTGCTGATGGGTGAGCTGAGCAGTCAAGAGATGGAGAGGGGACTGGAGATGAAGAGGGGATGGGAGATGGAGACGGAGAGGGGACTGGAGATGGAGACGGAGACGGAGATGGGACTGGAGATGGAGACGGAGATGGAGGTGGGACTGGAGATGGAGATGGAGACGGAGAGGGGACTGGAGATGGAGATGGAGATGGAGGTGGGACTGGAGATGGAGATGGAGACGGAGAGGGGACTGGAGATGGAGATGGAGATGGGACTGGAGATGGAGATGGAGACGGAGATGGGACTGGAGATGGAGATGGAGACGGAGAGGGGACTGGAGATGGAGACGGAGACGGAGATGGGACTGGAGGTGGAGACGGAGAGGGGACTGGAGATGGAGATGGAGATGGAGATGGGACTGGAGATGGAGATGGAGACGGAGATGGGACTGGAGATGGAGATGGAGACGGAGATGGGACTGGAGATGGAGACGGAGAGGGGACTGGAGATGGAGACGGAGATGGAGATGGGACTGGAGATGGAGATGGAGACGGAGATGGGACTGGAGATGGAGATGGAGGTGGGACTGGAGATGGAGATGGAGACGGAGAGGGGACTGGAGATGGAGATGGAGATGGAGAGGGGGGGACTGGAGATGGAGATGGAGACGGCACTGGACATGGAGATGGAGACGGAGAGGGGACTGGAGATGAGACTGGTCACTTCAGGCTCCTTGCCATTCCTTTCTGCATGTTACCAGCTGTGAGGCTGTTTTCAGTGTGTCCCCTGCATTGCTCCCTCTGCCCCTCCCTGGTGTCCCTCTCCTGCCCCGTGACTTCTCACCTTGGCCAGCAGCCTTCTTGTGATCTCTCTGCTCCATTTTCCCCACAGTTTCCCGATTTATTTTCTGACATACAGATCAGGTGGTGCGACTCACTTATTCAAAGACCTTCTGGACTCAAGGTTCCCTGCAGGAAGATTTACACTCTAGGCCTGTCAGCAGCTCTCTAGCCCACCCTTCCTGTCTGGCTCTCCATCTGCACCTCTGGCTCTGCTTTCAAGCCCAGCAGGCAGCTGCTGTCATTGCTGGTGCTGTTCCCTGTGCCTGGACGGCCTTCCCCGTACCTCTGCTGTCTGAGTTCACCCGTCTCGGGAGGAGCCCTCTCCTCCAAGCCCTTCGTGGCCTGTACAGAAGGGAACCTCCCTCCATGCCATCTTTACTGTATTAGCTCTCAGTCTCAGCACTGTATGCTATAATCATTTCTGCCAATCAGTAATCCCTTAAATGGCCGGCAGCTTCTCAGAGGCTGCCAGATCCATGGTGGAGCCCGCTTCCCTTCCCCAGCTGCCTGCACTAAGCCCTGGCACTGAATGGAGGCTCAGGAGATGCTGCACGGTGCTGTGCTGGAGTCACTGCCCTCTCTTGCAGTTGTGCAGTTGACATTTGTGTCTTCTCTTTGTATGGAGAGAAACCTTGTCCCCTGCGCAGACTCTCCCCTCTGCCGTGACATCAGAGAGGATGCGCTCCATGGGCTCAGCCTGCATTTGGAAATGCGGCCGTGACATGCAGCAGAGATATAGAGCTTCCAGGCTTGAGGATAGGGCAGTGCTGCCCTGAGGTGTGTCAGGCCTGTAGTCAAGAGTTTGTAGCTGGGTGTGGTGGCTTACACCTGTAATCCCAGCACTTTGGGAAGCCAAGGTGGGCAGAGCACCTGAGGTCAGGAGTTCAAGACCAGCCTGACCAACATGGTGAAATCCCGTCTCGACTGAAAATACAAATTAGCTGGGCATGGTGGCACGAGCCTGTAGTCCCAACTGATCAGGAGGCTGAGGCAGGAGAATCTTGAACCTGAGAGGCAGAGGGTACAGTGAGCTGAGATCGCACCATTACACTCCAGACTGGGTAGTAGAGTGAGACTCTGTCTCAAAAAAAGAGTCTGTAAAGGCAGGAGGCTCGTTCTGAAGGACTCTGGAACTTCTGTGTGTTCTGAGGTTGAAGGTGTTCTTGTGAGTGGGCGGTTAATGTGAATCACAGCAGACCACAGGGGCTGAGGGACATTGAAGAGCAGGAGTCAGGGATCATCCCAGAAGGTGAAGCTGGGGCATGTGGAGAGCGGAGGGCATGTGGAGAGGGGAGGCAGGAGGTGAGAGCGCAGCTTGAGTGCCAGGCTGCAGGGGAGCCACACACCCATGAGGTGTCACAGGCACACATGCACATGCATACACACCCATGCACAGGCACACACACACACCCCCAGTCCACACACTCAGTACATACACACTGAGCACACACACACCCAGCACAGACACACCCAATGCATACACACCCAGCACACACACACACATCCCCATTGCATACATACCCAGCACAGAGACACCCACTGCACACACACCCAGCACACACACCCAGCACACACATCCACTGTACACACACCCGGCACACACACACACACCCATTGCATACATACCCAGCACAGACACACCCACTGCACACACACCCAGCACACACATTCACTGCACACACACCCAGCACAGACACACATACCCAGTGTGCACACACCCAGAACAGACATACCCAGCGTGCACACAGTCCACACTCAGTCCACACATACTCAGCACAGACACATCCAGCACAGACACACATCTAAGGCCCACACAGTACACACACACCCAGCACACGCATGCACCCAGTGCACACACACCCAGCACAGACACACCCAACACACCCAGTGCACACACCCAGCACAGACACACCCAGCACAAACACACCCAGCACAGACATACACACTCAGTATATACACACCCAGTGCACACACACCGTGCACACACACCTAGCACAGACACAGCCAAGACAGACATACCCAACACAAACACTCAGTGCCCACATAACCCAGCACAGACACACCCAGCACGGACATACACACTCAGTACATTCACACTGAGCACACACACACCCAGCACAGACATACACACTCAGTATATACACACCCAGTGCACACACACACAGTGCACACATACCTAGCACAGACAGCCAACACAGAAATACCCAACACAAACACTCAGTGCCCACATAACCCAGCACAGACACACCCAGCACGGACATACACACTCAGTACATACACACTGAGCACACACACACCCAGCACAGGCACACACACCCAATGCATACACACCCAGCACACACACACACCCATTGCTTACATACCTGGCACAGACACACTCCCACTGCATACACACCCAGCACACACATCTACTGCACACACACCCAGCACAGGCACACATACCCAGTGTGCACACACCTGGAACAGATATACCCAGCACGCACACACCCAGTATGCACACAATCCACACATACTCAGCACAGACACACCCAGCACAGTCACACACACCTAAGGCACACACAGTACACACACACCCAGCACACACATGTACCCAGTGCACACACACCCAGCACAGACACACCCAACACACCCAGTGCACACCCAGCACAGACATACACACTTAGTGTATACACACCAAGTGCATACACACCTAGCACAGACACAGCCAACACAAACACCCAGTGCACACACCCAGCACAGACACACCCAGCACGGACATACACACTCAGAATATACACACCCAGTGCACACACACCCAGTGCACAGATACAGCCAACACAAACACCCAGTGCACACACACCCAGCACAGACACACCCAGCACAGACATACACACACAGTACGTACTCAGTACACACATACCCAGTGCACACCAGACACCCCCAGTGCATACACACCCAGCACAGACACAGTACACACATCCAGTGCACACATACCCAGCACACACACACACAATACATACTCAGTACACACACACCCAGCACATACTCAGTGCACACACACCCAGTGCACACCACACACACACAGTGCATACACACCCAGCACATAGTACACACACACCCAGTGCACACAGACCCAGTGCATACATACCCAGTATAGACACAGTACACACACACCCAGTGTACACACACCCAGTGCATATACATCCAGCACACACACCCAGTGCACACACACCCAGCACAGACATACACACAGTACACACACACAGTGCACACACACTCAGTGCACACACACCCAGCACACACACACTCAGTGCA